TAATACTTATGTGAATTGGCCGACGTAGATTATTATTTTACTAAAGGACTTTGTCAATCCGCAGAACTAACGTGGTTAAACCTTTCAGGANTCCGTTTTATCAACAATTTCTTTCCTTAAATATCTGCCTAATCTTGAATTTTTGGATCTGTCTGAAACACCTAATTTACACAATTCAGATTTCATGTTTTAAAATGTTGTTCGAAACTTGTTCAACTGTACATATCGTTTTGTGATGTTAAAATAGATACAATAATTGAAAGTTGCAAACATCTAAAATCTATTAAGACACTCGATATTTCTGGAATTCCAATTAGCCTGGAACAATGTGTTCAACTCTTAAATCATACTTATGATACACTTACATGCTGCATATTAAATATCCCTAGATATATAACTGTAAGAGAATTTTTTGTGTTAATTGAACTAAATTACAAGAACTGTCGATTTTTTGTCCTCAGAATTGACAAGTACGGAGACAAAATTTGGAGTTAAGAATGCCCTCGAAGTTTTGGATTTCCTTGATATTGACAATGATTGTAGTGAATATGATTCCTCGTCTGATCATTTTGAATCTGTTGAACCAGCCATTAACATACCCCTTTCTTACCAAAATAATAATATCAATGAAATCTTACCAGCAGCTCAAAATATATCTAATGATGAATCTTTTGAAATAACTTTGGACGAAATATACGTAATTCCCGACACTGAACTCAGTATAGCAAATGTTATAATAGATCATGAAAGTAATATCTCAACCATAATAGATAGTGATAAAAATGCTAAAATTCCCGAAACAGCAAATGCTGAATCTAGACCTTCTCGAAAACGGAAGAAAAACCAAGCAGAATGGGCAAAAAATGTACGAAAAAGGAGACGACAATCAGGAAAAGAATATACGGACTCAAACGGAACCCTACAGCGAAAAAGATCACTGAAATATGACACAAATCATACATGTAGATTCAAATGTTGTGAACATTTCTCATATGATGGTTGTCTACAAATCTACACGGAGTTTTGGACTCTTAACGACTCCCAGAAAAAGATTTTCTATAGCCAAACTACAAGTAAAGAACGTAAGGCAAGAACTAGATTGCCTAATACTGAATTTACTAGTAGAAAGCAGTTTACATATAAATATCATTTGAAAAAAAGTGATGAAAATATACGTGTGTGCAAACAGTTTTACTTAAATACTCTGGATATAAGCCAGACACGAATCTAAACTTTTCATGAAAAAGATGAAAGAGGAAATATCAGATACAGTGATAAGCGTGGTGCACATAGTTGTAAAAATATTATCAATACTGAACCCCAAAAGGAAATAATTCGTAACCATATTAAATCATTTCCTACTATTCCCTCACATTATTGTAGGGCAAATTCCAAGAGACAATATTTAGAGCCCGGGCTCACTGTACAAAAAATGTACAATCTATATGTTGATAACTGCAATAGAGATGAAATAAAACCCTTAGAATTATATGTTTATCGAGATATTTTTAATTTGGAATTTAACATTGGATTCCATGTCCCGAAAAAAGACAAGTGTGACACGTGTGAAAAATACATAATATTAACCTCCCAACCAAACGTTAATGAAATTAATGCTCAAACATTACGTGATTATTTGAACTTAAAGCCAGAAACAA